GTCGTGACTGAGTGAGTAATTTTTTTTACGATCAAGGGTCGGAGATTTGATGCTGTTTGTTTAACTCGCTGCTCAGCATACAAATTTGGTGATTACATTCTTTAATATGTTGCAAGTTGTGTGCTATATTCATTTGAACATGAGCGTTAAGGATGATATTAAGTAGGATTTACTTAGAAGAAAAGACCTGTGCATGGGAAAATTTTGAGGAAAATGAGCATATATGCCGACCGGAATATCTGAATCCAGAGATATTACTAATATTATATGCTTTAGATGGAAAGTTCTTTGTCGTTATCACATTTCCGAATCGTAGATATTCAACCCGTATTTATCAGAGTAAGTTTGATCCCGTATTTACAAATAAGTATATTGATATATGACTAATACAACCCGTATTTAATACAAAAATTATATTGATGAATTACTATTACATTCCGTATTTACTAAAACGATTATATTGATAAATTATAATACAACCCGTATTTACTAGAACGATTATATTGATACGGTATATTACTAATACAACCGGTATTTACTAAAACAATGATATTGATCGCACACATTAAAGTGCCTGCTTTTAAGTTTGCAAGAGCTAACTTGGCACGCGACTTGCATCATGTGCGCCGGCTGCTGACACTGCCATTCATAAGCCCTGCACGTGAGCTTCAGTCCTTCACTATCTAAATTAGATTCCCCCACCAGCAATAGTAACGTAATAGCAATAGTTCTAACACTGTTAGAAAGAACGGTGAAAAAACGGTCCCACTGGCGTTCTAGTGGCCGGTCGCCCCGTGAAAATAAACTATTTCGCCGTTTTTATCAGATGTTTTACTGATTTCTAGCGTTAAATTAGAATAAAAACGGCGACACGGTGTTTCTTTTCACGTGCCGACCGGCCACTGAAACGGCGGTAATACCGTTAATGGTAATTTTTCTTACATGCAGTGTATGGTGCAACTTGATGATGAGTTGCTTTCGGCTGAAGTTATTTCGAACTTTGTAGACAATTTATTTATGTTTTCTTGTAGAATCTGTCGTGGTTTTTAAAATTCCATTTTATTTCTAGATCTTCTGCTTAATCTGAGAGTATTAGTTTACTTGTATGTGATATAGGTACTTTTAATTTATTAGACTATTGTTGCATTTAGGAATGTTGTTTCATTTATATTTATTTTAATGGCTCAAGCTGTTTTACGGTAGTTAAATGTGCGCTTGAGAACCACAGTAGCTGTAATTATATTCTAAAAGTCAATTATTTATGATCGTTAATCGTACGAGTATATGACTGCCCAATAAAAATATTTGTGTATTAATGTTGTTGTGTGTCACTTTTTTTTTTTTTTTTTTTTTTTTTGTTCGCAAAGCCCGCTAGTTTCTTGTCTCGTGGCACCGCCTTGAACTTAGCTTTATCGCTCACTATGTCACTCGTGAGTCTGCTTAGTCTATTCATCTTGCTAACTGGACACTCGTGACTTTTTAATGCCTTTGTTTTTCTCACTCTTTAATTTCTTGAGTCTATTTATCTTTGTTTCTGACTTTTTGTTTGTTTGTCTATTTATCTTTGTTTCAGGTGACAGTTTTGTAAACTTATTCGCAGAGCTTTTCTTTTGAAAGTCAAGTTAGAATTCATTATTCATTAAAAAATAATCTGTATTCTTCTTAATTAGTTATGTTCTGGAGTAGATTTTATAACTCGGCAAAAATAAATTATTCTGTTGGTCTTGTTATCAGCTTTTATAACATCGGCATCGTCGTACTCAGCAGCAATAATGCAAAATAATCATGATAATCATAACCAATAACTCTTAAATAGCAAAGATGACACTAGACTTCATTTGCATACGGTGTTTTTTCTTGCATTTACACGAACGTATTCCTCTTACCGTGCTTACATGACCAGAGAAAGCCAACACTAATTATCATTTAGTTATTGGTTATGATTACCACCAACATGCAGGTCTAGTTATTTAGTTACTTATAATGATTATCACGAACCTTTTGATTCATATCATTCCCCTAATCCTACCTCGTATTGCTTCTTGTTCAGCACGAGCTGAACAATTACAATATACAATTGTACTAATTGTTATTGGCTATGATTATAATCAACATGCTGGTCTTGTTATTATTTAGTTATTTATAATGATTATCACGAACCTGTTGATTCATATCATTCTTCTAATCCTACTTCGTATTGCTCCTTGTTCAGCACGAGCTGAACAATTACAATATACAATTGTACTAATTGTTATTGGTTATAATTATAATCAACATGCTGGTCTAATTTTTATTATTAAGTTATTTAAAATGATAATTACAAACCTGCTTATTCATATCATTCTTCTAATACTACTTCGTATTGCTCCTTGTCCAGCACGAGCCCGAGCGGACCTCTGAACGATGGCAGTCTCGACTCAGCGGGCAGCGGCTTTACGGCAGGTCAGCGGTCATAAAAACAATTACGAAGATAACTAAATATAACAGTTCTAGTTAAATCAACCAATACCAGTGAATTGTTTCTCCTATTTTTTGTTGCAGCTTCGTCACTCCTGAGAAACTCTGTTCTTGTTGTTTCAGAATATCCATATTTTTCTTGCGCTAGAAATCATTTCATTCGAATTTAACTGTTTCCGTAGTAATTTTTTTTTCTACATGTATAATTTATTTGGTTTCTGTATGTAAATATTTTTACAAATAGCACTTATTCTGCTTTCAGAAATTCTTCATTTTGCTTGTTATTACCGTCATCGATTAATGTAAAGAAGATTGTTAGTAAACGCACTGACGCTTAGGAATTTTTTCCTATCTACGAATTAAAAGGTCCAGTTCGCTGAGCCTAAAAATTGTTCTGAAGTAGTGCATGGCATCTACAGTGCTGTATTTCATTAATTATTGTACGTAGAGTAGGTACTACGATATTAATACAATTGTTCATTTTTTAGGCCATACTTAACTAACATTACAGTGATTATCAGGGGAATAAGAAGACCCTGTGTTGGTGTTGGTGTAAGATTGTCATGACAGGCGGGTGGCGGGGCGGGAGTGGCGGGTCCAGCGCTGGCGGCGGCGTGGTGGCGGGCGCGAGCGGCGGGGCACTTGGGGCGGGTAACGGCCTGGGCGAGTCCGACATCAGGTGAGCGCTCATGTCTTCTTTTAAGACTTTAATTATTTTAATAAAATTATTTTCCTTAATATTACTGTGTAGTTTAATTCCACTCATTGTTGGACTTAATATCATTATTGTTAAATTAATATGGACAACACTCATGGACACGTCATTCGAAGTCAAATTGTGATCACTTATTTTTTTGACGAATACAACCCAGCTAACTGCAATGACCGTGAATATTGTTGCAATCGATATATTATTGTGTGATATACTGGCGAGGATGCATGTACCTTCATATCGATCATTATAGGGTGTATATTATGTATAGGTATGTAATTTGGCATAATCGCCAAATTACGCAGTATATATTATACAAAACATTTGTGTCATTACTCGTACAATGTTCATTTTTCACATTTTTCGTGTCATCACATTTATCGTATAATCTTCAACACTAATCTTACAAAATCATTCATTTTTGTGAGCCCATTTGATTTATATGCGATGTTAAAGTCATGTATGCCGTTGGTCGGTAGAATTATTGTCAAAAGTTTGGTAGCAGCCTTGCCTTGCCGGGCTTTCATCACCAAATGCTCGTTCCATCCTACCGATATTCTTGTGATTTATTAGCCCACCAGGTTCTATTAGACGCTTGAAGTGAAACGAAACCAACATTGCAGACACATCCATATTTTTATGAAAATTTAACATGAACGTCATGCAAAGTTCGGTCTTTGAATATTATTTGATCTTCCTTGTTTGGTAGAGCAATATTTCTGTAAGGTTACNTGCTATCACTATATCACGTGTTGTTTTGAATCAATTAATAACTGACGATGGTCGAACTAAGTTTAGGTTTACAATGCACTTGCATACTCCCTGTTGACGTTGTTTTAATGCATGTGTCAGTCGAGGGTATTTTAGACCGCGTGGTGTGCCAGGAGTCGCGCGTCACCGAGCGATGTTTGCTGCTGCTCTCCGCTTATTTATGTCCCTAGTGTCCCCTGCTTTGCTATCCGAGTTTAATAAACTTATAATTATAGCTTATAATTTGTTCTTATAGGTGATCAAGACTCTCATTTGCAATGATCAGGACAAAAAAATACGATCTTGTTCTTTTTAGCGCATTTTCTCATTTGTGGACAAAATGCCCTATTGTGCTCGCCATGTCCGTCTGTCTGTCCGTGACCTCAAGTTTTCGTCGACGAGAAAATGCGCTCTCTGTCACTCACTGCAGTGAGTACTGAGTTATATTTTTTATATATTTTTTTAAGTTTGGTCGTTCTTAATGAAGAACTGTCATTTATTTCAAGACCCTGATTCGTAGCTCTGCCAAATGATGAGCAAATCTGAATCCAATTCCATACCTCAATACACTTATTAATAGGCTTAGGCAATTGAAAAATTAGTTGATTTTTACATTCAACAGTGCGAAAATTTCACTACGTCTGTCTGTCAATGTAAATTCAGAAAACGTTTGTACCAACGAGAAGTGTAAATATCAGCACCATGCATACATATAGTGACATGACCTTGGGCATGACAGCCTTGCTAAGAGATGCATTTAGCCTTAGCGGGGAGCCAAAATATATGCAATGGAAAGTCACGGTTAGTCAACGAAGTTCCCTGTCTTGAACCGGAAGTAATTTTAATTCCGCAATAATTCATGTTTCAAAGATCCCAACCGCAAATAGATGTAGTATGAATTTCAACTGTGAGCAAAACGCATTGCAATATTTAATCGTCTTTTCTGTTGGATAAATTTTAAAACAATTTTACCATAATACAAGCAATTATACGCGACGAAATGCTAATGATTATTCAACATGGACAGCCAACTATTACCTATATAATTTATATAAATCCTAATATATCATTTTCGTGACAGGTTGAAAACGAGTCACTGAAGCGACAGCTGTACGACAAGCAGCAGTTGTTGTCGCAGGCGTCGTCTGCCATCACGCAGCTGGAGGAAGACTGCAAGCTGCAGATGCAACAGCTGTTGCAGGACAACGAACGCGCTGTACAGAACCTGCAGCGACTCCTGCAGGAGAAGGAGCATGTCTTGGAGCAGCTGCAGCACACTGTTGCCTCTCAACAGCAAGTGCGTCTGAATATGAGTCACTCTTTAAAACATTCTTTGAAAGTTGCGACTATCATTTTCAAAGTTGCGCACATTAGCACAAAGCATTTTGATTATCTCTATCTATTCATTATCTAATTAACAGGATAACTACCCGGGTTTCAAATCTAATTGTTGTATGAAACATTTTTGACACTTCATTTATTGCTTGTTTTTACCTGTCTTGTCGAAAATATGGCCGCATTAATATAAATAATTTGGTGCAATGTCAATAGATGTGTACATGCTTGATTCAATGCAGAAAAGTACTTATTAAACTGATCAGCTTATCTCCTTACAAATATGGTGCTTTTTAGTATGATGTTCAGCTTTTGTTGTGTCGAATAATGTAATACTTATGTTTGTTGAGTCAGATAATATGATACTTGTTATAATGTTTGGTCTTTAATTTGTCAAACAATGTGGCACTTACCACAATGTATTTTTTTTAGCGTAAATTAAATGCCACTCGATTACTATTGACTCTCTGAAGGTTTGCGAGTTAGAAATAGTCACAAATCTGGAGCTCTTGGCAACACAATTTTTTAAAATCATCATCATTAACTCTCTTCATTGAGATTTTAGATGAAATTTATCACGGAATTTGTTCTTTAACTGCAGAATTCAGGGCATCACATTTGTTTATTGCACTAAATTTGTTCACGTTTCCAGATGGTGTCTGAGTACTCGGTTCGATGCTCAGAGCTGGAGTCTGCTCTGAGACGCCACTCTGCTCCGGCCTTGCCAGAGCTCACACAGCTCTGTGATCTTGCCTTCCCAGACACCTCTTTAGCTGACGATGCAAGCTCATGGGGTGCAGATGGCTCTAAAAATATCAGGTTTTCAATTGACTCTGAACGCATAGAGAATACTTCATCAAACCCCAAAACCGCTGCGCCTCCCGCATCGCCGGACCAGAGTCGCACCAAAAGCTCGTCCGACACCACACACGCCCCTGACGCCTGTACGCTGGACACCAACCCCGCTGTCACCGTCAATACTTCCAACATCACTAACAACAACATCAACAACACCTTACCAGCTACCAGCAATAACTTGCAGCAACTACAACAGCAACATCAGAAGGGCTACTCGGAACATCACCACTACCATCACTCTCCTACCAACAACAAAGATGCCACGAAGAAGGATCTTCTATGCTTGGACAACACGTTATCTCCTCTCGCTCAGCAGCAGCCGCTTATTCCCAACAGCAACAGCGTCTTGGCCGCCATGTTGCCTCCTGTTTCTCTGCAAGGTAATCATTATTGGTTGATAAAATCTTGCATCGTTATTGTCGCTGTTCTCATCTGTTCCTGGCTTTGATTTAAGGAGCTTATTTGTGGTGTTGGCTATGGGATGCATGACCTCGTGATTATATATCGGGATGAGAGTATTCATTCCCCCGAAAGTTAAGGAATTATTTTGAGAATTATACTTTTTTGTTGGTTCAATAATTGGTTAATTGATCCAGGCTTTTATTTATTTAGTCCCGGCATTACACCGTCTGACTAACCTCTCCCTAGTTTTGATTTCATTTCCAGTGCGGAAATTATAATTATTACTTTTTTTATAAAAAATTAAGTAGATGAATTTAAATTCATTAACAATGACAGTTCCGTGCCAGGTTTTCATAAATGCATCGCTTTTTCGTTTCGTCAGGAGTGTTTAGTCTCAACAGTTCAGACTCTGGGAAGTCTGCAGCTGCAGAGACTCAATACCTGCAGCAGCAAGTTAGCAGTTTGCAGACACGCGTGCAGCAGCTGCAGCAAGAGCTGCAGCAACGAGACCAAACAGCTGCTGCATTACGCCAAGACCTGGAGAACCTGAGACGCGAGGTGACTTGGAAATAAAATATAATTCCAGAACTAAAGATAATTTCATGTATTATAGCTTGATAATAGTACTGATGTAATCTCTGTGTGGAAGATTATTTCTCTTTCGGGATTTGGTGCTGTTAATCTGTTATTGATTACTTTTGTTAGGATTTGGGTTTGTGTGTGGAAGATTATTTTCTCTTCTGAGATTTGCTGCTGTTATTGATTAATTTTGTTAGGATTTGGGTTTAATAATTTTAAAGTAATGTTCGCATTTCTTACAGTTGATGCTGAAGACAAATGAGGTGGTGGAACGAGAGCAGCGCGTAGATGCGCTGCAGCAGGAGGCGTCCGAGCACATCAGGCAGATGGAGGTCAAGGACGCAGAAATTACCAGCCTGCACCGTGACCTTAATAGGGTATGAATTGCTGAGTAATCCCTTTGACATTTTATGCCCGGTTCGTTTGGGCATAAAAAATGAAATAATCTTTTTGACATTATAAGACCGGTTCACTGGGGCTCCAAAAATGAACGGGCAATCGCTTCAAAAATTTATTCATATGCTTCTAATTAAAGAAGCCATTCTTGTGTGAGGACTACACAAATTTGAATTAATCTTTGCAGCATTGAATTTTAGGAGGCATGTTTGATAAACTAATCAGCGTGTGTTGACTTAGAACTGGCACCAGTGTTTTTGAAAACCTTTGCAAGCTAGAGTATTGACCGCGCCGATTAGCAATGAGGTTTCGTTCTCAATTTCATATGGGGGTTTCTCTCGCTTATACCTGAGGTTTTCATGAGTATGAGTATGTTAGAGAGATCAAAAAATATCATTTTTGAGTTATGATTTAATCTCAAAACTTATATTTTCTTCAGGTCGAGCCTGAAATCTCGATAAAAGTTCAAGAAATCGAGGAACGTGACCGAATTATCGAGGAGAAGACGGGCCAGATCGAGCAGACGAGCTGGAGAACAGCTTGGCCGAGTCTCTGGAGCGCGTGCTGCACCTGCAGCAGGACTACGACAAGAGCTGCACCGCCATATCTGTCAGTGAATTTATTATACAAGTCGTTTTATATTTTGTTGAACGGGTCAATATAGTCCTTGATATTTTATTACACTTTTTGACAGTGAATTGCAGCAGGACTACGACAAGAGCTGTACCGCCATATCTGTCAGTGAATTTATTATACGAGTCCTCCTATATGTTGTTTCTTATACAAGTCGTTTTATATCTTGTTGACCGGGCCAATATATTTCCTGAACATTTTATTGCACTGTTTCACAGTGAATTAATATTGATAGGTTTCCTGAAGTTTGAGAAGATGCTAATGTATCTTTTTAAGGTTAATAACCGTTGTTGTGGTCCTGATAATTTCATTTAGTGATACTTCATTGAAAATTATCTGCGTCGTTTAGTTTACTATATACTCCTTCGAACGCTGCCATCCAGAGTGAAATATTTGCTTATTTGTAACAGCATCTCGCACATTTGCAACTTGTTTTCTCCTATCTAATTAAAGACAAATCCATCATAGTCTTCTATTAATTCATAATTTACTTGGAATTTATTCAGTTTCGTACTTGCGGTACTACTTGTTGTTTACTTGCATCCTGTCTTACTGGCAGCTCTGGTTTCAATTCGATTCAAATTTAATCTCCCCATATAAAGATATTTTTCATGTTCATGTCTATACCTACATTTTTCATGCACGTTTAATGAGCATTACGAAGAGAACATCAGTTCATGCCACTAAGCTTTTTGCAGCGACTAAGAATTTTTCAACGCAGGGTTTTGCAACGGAGCTTTCGAATCGAGACAAGGAGATCGCGAACCTGCGCCGCGACCTGAAGAAGAAGGACCGCAAGATTAAGGACCTCGTGGCGGAGCTGAAGGAGACGCTCGACATGCTGGGCAAGGCCAAGTGGGAGGCGGAGACCGCGGACCGCGGCGAGGACTCCATCAAGGAAATGGTCGAGGAGGAGCACGAGGTCAGTTCCCGCTAGGCTTGTGACGCTCCAATTTTTCCCAGTGCGGTAAGGATGAAAGGATGAATAAATGGATCCGTTGTTGCACTGTTTGCTGTAACTAATACCTACGCTTGAGAACTTGTGAATGTTTTCATATTTAGTTGGTGGAAAGATCCATATAGTTGGTGCCTCGGGTCACGTTTCTACACAGTAAGTAAAACGTATCACGGCACACAAGGTGTCTGTCGTGGCTGGTGTGTGTGTATGGTCGGCATATGTTGACACGGCTATTTGCTGCATATAATTTTTAAAGCTTGCATTAATTTTCCAAGCTATCGCTTACTTAACCATAAATTTGTACAAAATTGTGCTTTTTCACCACTTTATCTTGACTTATTTTTAGTGCTGGTCTCATTTCTTCTCCTGACGGACGCCAATTACACAGGTTCGTCGCCATGATCTAAAAATTCAAACTAGCGCAACTCGACCTGCTCAAACCAAGCCTAAAAATATTCTCATCGAAAATGAACGACATGAACGCAACTCCAGAGAAGAAAACAAGCTTGATGTACCTCCGCACGACTCGTATTCTTCGAAGTCACGAGTGCAGAATGTATTACAGCATCTTTCGTGGCATGTTCACTCTGACGATAATCGTGCGGTTATCCGTCCACGAAACACTCGAGCGGATGAATTCTCACTTGTTCGTGAGTCGCCTTCGCGCTTAACGAACTCGTCTAATTTATCTGAAAATTCGAGTGACGAAGAATTGTGTGGCAATGATGCACGTGAGTACTATAAGTTAGCCGCAATACCCGACTTGCAAGTCAGTGCTGAGGCCGAATCTAATCCCCTTGAATACGAACATTACCAGCGTAGCTGCTCCAGATCAAACAACCAGCTCAAAAGTGCAAAAAATAATAATCGTGACGAAAAGACGGGGATCTCAGAGTTTGCCTCGTCTTCTAGAGATAAATGGTTTGAGAATCAACAACGAAATGCCAACGATTTGTGTTCAACGGACGGTTCAGCGTATTTCTCAAGTCGCTCTTCACATGAGACCGCCTCTCTGTCCCGTAATCTCGTACAAGAAAATGCGTTCAAAACAAACTTTTCCGTGGATCAAGTACAATACAGAATGGCATCTAGTGAGGATGTCAGTCAACAGTCCAGAAGTATCGTAGGTCGCATAAGTCCAGTTGTCATGCCCGACTCTGGAGATGCGTATTCGCTTTTTGCATCGTACGACTGTGAGTCTCCATGCCTGGTTTCAGAGCAATTGTTCCCAGCTCGTGTTCACCACACTGTACACTTGCCCTGTATTCCCAACCAACGCATGGCGCGAAGTTCGTCCTGTGCTTCGTTCGCGTTGCAAAAAGCTCAGCCAGACTCTTGCGACCAAGCACGTTTAAACGGAGTTGTTTCACAGAACAATGATAATTTACCGGATATTCTACCTCGGCAAGATTACGATTGTGAACACGCGTCGAGCACTAATTCCATGGAGCCTTCGCATCTCTGTCAGCCAGCGACACACGCACTCAGTTTCCATTCGCAAGACTCTAGTAATACTCGGTCTTTGCCTCGCGGTTCCCGACTCGCTACCGTAGCGCGCGACGGAGGAGGCATTAGGCGAGCTGCGAGCTCCTCTCTCGCCAATGTCTGCAGAGCGACTGAAGAACAAAGAAACCATGGAAGCTCATGCCAGACCTTGCCTCGCATTATTGTGACCGGAACCGAATCACCAAATCAGAACATGTCTGTCCGACATTTCTCTAACTGCGACCATTCTTCTTCAGACTTCCATTGTTTGTCTTCTTCCAGCATTAGGGAGTACTAAATAATTTTCCTTTGCAATCTTTACACCCCGTCTTGTTAAGCAAATAAGCGATCTGATTCGATCACGAGCCGCCAAGTATGAATTTAGTATGTAGAACGAGTCAAAATTAGAAGGTTAGCGTTTTTAACCAATATGCATAGAACCAAATTTATCACATTTAACGACAAACATTCTTTTGCCGCTAATAAACATTCTTTTGCCGCTAATAGATTCAATGAAGCATCGGATAGATTATTGACTTCAAACGCCAATATCGACATCTACTGAAAAACCGTTTCATGGAGGCATCATCTGATGATTGTGGATTTTTATCTGTCTGTTCATTTACTTGTTTCAATAAATTTTTCAGCTGTTAGGGATTTGAATTTTTATTAACTTTATTTTATATTTTGGAATAATATTATAACTCCTCAAAATTATGGTGAGTATCTAATCAATTCATTTGTAGTGCTTTCTTGCTATTTAACTCTGAAATTATTTGTTCGGAATATTGCGTATGGTTCTCTGGAAGACATTTAAATAGACTATTTACTTGTGCAGCACAAGTACATTTGTTTCTATGATTTCGGTTAACGAGTCGTGCTTCTGACAAGACACTATTTTTGTGTAGTTCTTCCTGTAGTATTTCGACCAATTCCTTCTTTTTTCGTATCGGGATTTCTATTCATATCTTAGATTTAACCTTTTTCATGACTTGCTCTCTTTCACGGTTAAGTTTTAATTTTTTTTATTTTCTTAAATTCCTGCTTCTCTCCTATATGAATAATATTGTAGGTACTGAATGACTTCTCATCTGTCTGCACCTACATTGTATAGCTACTAACCATCTTGAACTATCAGCACCATAATGGAAGTATAATCTTCCCTAGAATTATGTTGCAGGGTTCCTAATGGTCTATTAGATTGATTTCATTTTCCGAATAAGGCGCGAATTGTAAACTCGTGCGATTCATTTTTTCTTTATTCTGTCTGAGCTTTCCTTTGTCGTACGTGTAGATGTTGTGCTGGGCTCCACATTAAATGTTAGTAACTTACATTTGAGGTTCCAGAGAGATGGGAGAATTTCACGTTTCAGTTCCAATCCCAAAAAGTTTTCTCACATCGCCTCCAAGCCGGAAACAAATTTGAACATTTAACACGTATTTCTACTGGGAGCCTTTTTTTCTAGCAACCAATGCAACCAACTCTCAATTAATGATAAAATGTAAAGTTCTTATATAGTTTCGTCAAACCAGTTGAGGTTTATTTGATTATCAATGTCCGTTTCTTTCACTACGAATTCACTTTAAATCGAGCAATTTTAATTGGATTAGCCCATCTCTCCCCTGTAGTCGTACTAACCAATATATGTGGTGTGTGCAGCGATTGTGGGCTGAGATGGAGCAGAAGAAGCAGCAGCTAGCAGCCCTCAGCGCAGAGCTGAAGCGAGCTGAAGACAGTTTACGTGAACAAGCTGAAGAGCTTTCATCTAACCGCCAGGCGCTCAAACTTAAGGAAGAGGCCGAGCGCCAACGCCTTTCAGACCTGAGCGCGCTGAAGGAACAACTCTCGCAGCGCCAGCAGCTTCTTGAAGAAAACAAAAAATGCATTGATGCTCTTGAAGCTGAGCTTAACAGTACAAAGAAAACTCTATGCGAGAAGCAACAACAGTTAGACGCTCTGTCAAGTAAACGTGATAATTTGAACATGGACTCAGAAATAGAGGAGCTCAAAGTCAAATTGAAGGAGTGTGAGGCTGAGAAAGATTGCAAAATTAATGTTCTAGAAAAAGAATTGAAGCTATTAAAGAACGACATTGCTCGTCTTCAAACTCAGCTACTTTTATCGGCTAAACAACATACTGAAAATGTAAAAAGTGATGGAACTTCGGTTGTTCGTGAAAACGGTCAGCCGACCTCGGTGCAAGTTACCATCACCTCAGCGCAACCGTCCCACGTCGTACCTCATAAACCTTTTGGCGCCGACGCTGCTCCCAGGGTTGGAATCGAGGAGAACTGTTCACCAACTGTTGTATGCAACTTCTCTGAACAAATTAAGGAGCTGCGAGAAGCTCTTAAGAGCCAACCACTTCCTGCAACTCCTTATAGGAATTATGACGGTATCGTCAGTAAATATCGGCGAGAGTGCAACCGTCTGCGCCACCGTTTGACAGAGTCTAGTAACGCGTGTGATCTGTTGCGCGGTCGTCTTGAGGAGCTCGCCGAGTTCTTGGAACAACTATTAGAGGTGGAAGACCACGGCATCATCGACTTGAGTAAACTCACAGGGATCACCAGGACCACGCTCCACAAGTCCCTGAATGATTCTCGTGCCTTGTCTCAGACGCTCTCGCAGTCACTCCTGGAGGATCTCAGCGCCTTCGACTCTAGTCTCGAAGAGGACATTGAAGGGGAAACGCTATGTGATGCATCAAACTGTTATGAAAGTGTTGAGGTTTCCAGATATTTAAACCTGCCAGATAGATCTTTGCGCACTTCCTCAATAGCAGAGCGTCTTTCTACGTCCGAAGCCATCCCGCTTCTTCCCGACATTGAGCTAAGAACTCGGAGAATTGATGACATTCTCGTTCAGATGACCGGCATGAATGATGATCTTACTAAACGTGAAAAGGAGTTGTCTGAAAAATTGCTCGTTTATACAACCACAATTGCTGAATTGCAACATAAACTTGCAGTTGCCTCTAACAGCAGTAACATTTCTACTCTACGTAGCTCTGAAGATGTCGCTCCTCGTATGTCACTTGAAGTAGCCTGCCAGACTCTACTGGCAATGGCACCGCGACAGTCGGTGTCCTCACTACCTGATCTCTCTGCTTCTTATCTGTCTTCAGACTCGCTTTCGAATGGCAAGATGGCGCCGCTCATCGAGGAGAATGTTAGGCCCGACGAAATAAATACAGAGAATAATCCTCAGACGGAGCCACATACTTGTGATGAGCCTACTTCCAATCAAGAGCCGATTGTCACTACTAATTTACTGTCCCCGCACTCGGGTCTAGTGAGATCTAGCGGGACTTCTGATAAAGGGTCGCCAACTAAATCAGTAAATGAGATACGCAATGTGGTTGCTTCTCCTTCTGAGAGCGAGGCATGGAGTGAACCAGATCGAAACGTATCTTTGGCTCGCATTGGTCTCGAAACTAGTGGTCTCGCGGCCACTTTAGACCGGTCTCGGTCCCGGCACTCGCGAGCAGCGTTCGGAACTGTGCATAGCTCCGAGTCGGATACTGAGGAACTGTTGCTCCCGCCTGATTCGATTACCACAGTCCACTCGAGCTGTGTGATGCCGTTAGTGGGACCTCATTGCGGTACCTTGATGCCTGGCAGTGCCATAAAGCCTTCGCCTAAACGACGATCAGACGCGTGCGAAGTCCGCAGACTTACGGCCAAGCTACGAACTCTGGAGCATCTCAACGAAACTCTGAAAGCTGAGCTCAACATCTACCAGAGTTTGAGCCTGCAGCTGAGTCCTTCAAGTGATCCCCAGCAAAGCGACTGCCAGCCTCCCAGAACTCAGGCAGTGACCACCACCACCAGCGAGCAGCCCGACGTCGTGTCATCGTCCGACACTCCCAGCAGCGGGCTGTGCGCTACATACGGCAACGCCAGCGTCAAGAAACCTCGTCGACTCTTCTCTGGCACCGAAGACAATATTGTAATGGCTGCCCCTCTCTTGCAAGAAATACGTTGCCTTAGGTCCAAACTGGAAGAGAGCATCAGGTGAGTTGCATTATTTTGTCACTGATATGATCACTTTGAAATGCAAAACAAAAAAGAAAATTTAGTCCGATGTATTTCTTGGAGATGATGATTATGTATTCATTTTCATAAATAGGTTGTATTGGGTCTTGCCTTTTTGTTCTTAATTTTGATTTTATAATTAGCAACAACGATCAGCTGCGAGATCAGCTGGAAGCTGCGGTGCTGTCTTGCAGTCGCATGCACGAAGATCCTTCTCAGCTGGCGCATATCACAGCCGCACTGCTCAATGCTCAGGTATGGTCATATTTGCGCATTGTACAGCTTTTAACTTGGTTTAGTTCTTTCATAGAAGTAACTTGTAATTTATTCAAGATTCAATGAGCTCGATGATTTATATTGGATGTAATAACTATTTCTGTCACTTTTCCTTCATTTTTAGTTGTAATAGTTTAAAATGCGGATAAACTAAATTGACTGTTTGCTCTCTGTACGAAGCAGGAGATATAGCATTTGACTCAAATATTTTTGAATAATCTAAATTAACTGTTGCCCTCTGTACGATGCAAGAGACATAGCAGCTGACTCAAATATTTTTGGAGAATCTAAATTCTAAATTGACTGTTGCCCTCTGTACGATACAGGAGACATTGCAGCTGACCCGAGACAAGTTGTCGTTTGCGCAGCGATGCGAACAGGTGCAGAGCGACCGCTGCTCCGTCGCTGAGCGTAGAGCTGACGAGGAGGCCAAGATCGTAAACGAGCTGCGAGCGCAGCTCAAAGAATCTCAGATGACGTTAAACTCGGCCACTGCTCAGCTCGAGCTTTGTGATCTGAAGCACTCCAAGGAGGTGGAGGAGTGGAGGGGCAAGTGTCTGGCTGCAGAGACGAAACTTCGTGAGGCGTCGTCCGGCCATGAGGAGCGAGAAGCACGGCTCCAGGAGCGCCTTTCTGAGGTGACGAAGGCGTTCGAGGAAAGCGAGTCTCGCCTGCGAGAGCAACACAGAGCTGTAAGTAAGATGTACGCCTGCGTACAAGAGGCAGCTCATTTGCCCGATATCAGCAATCTTCATTCGGCACTACAAACAAGCGAAACACAAGTTCTAAAAGCCACTAGAGACAGACTCGTGTTATTGGGAGAGAAGTCCAAGCTGCAGGCTGAACTTTTATCCGCGCAGTCCCAAACCAGTCGTCTTCAAGATAGCCTCTGTGAAGGCAGCTTAACGATTACACTTTCTCTCTCTGAACAATTGCAACAAGTTCAATCTACAGTCAGGAACCTGCAGTCCAAATGCAGTCACTTGCTGTCATTGAACACGCAGCTGTCTAAGGAAAAAGCCCAACTTCAGGATAAACTTGCTGGCTACGTTGCGGTTGAAAAACTCAGCAATAAGTCTGATATAACGCTGGAATCTGTGGCAAAGGAGACACCTCGCAAGCATTCCGGCGACGGTGCAGGGGAATCACGTCTGGGGTCTTTAGCTGTGCACCAACTTCAAAAGAACCACGCCTTATTGCAAGATGACTATTCCGTGCTGCAGAAGGATTACTCGCATTTGCAGAAGCTTTATAATGAAATCAATGAAAGTGAACAAGAAGCTTGCTTGAAGTTACGCTCTACTGAGGATGCGTTAGTCAAGACGCAGGTACAACTTCGTCTTATCAAAGAGCAGTGGGAGGAAAAGTTGACGCAGATGCAGCAGGAATGTTCTCTAAAACTTTCAGAAGCACAACAGGAATTATCGCTTCTGCGTCAAGAAAATGCAAAAGAATTATATTCGATGCAGCAGAAATTTCTGCAAGAATGCTCTGATAAACTGCGCAATGCTGAGCATAAATGGCAGGAAGCTGAAAAACAACTGCAAGATCGTCTACGTAGCTCGGAGCAAAAGCTTCATCAGCTGCAGCAGCAGTGCCATTCCAAAGAGGATTATATGAAGCTAGAGGGACGCTTGCAAGAAGCTTTGCAGCAGCTTCTTGCTGCCGAAAAAACTAGCATCAAACTAAGAAGTGAACTGCAGGTGCTCAAGACGAAGCAAGATGCGTTCAACAGACATCGTGAAGGTGGGATGTTATTCTTATTATTACCGCCTTTATGCTGCATTTTGCACCTCGTTTATCATATGTGCTGAGGTAGTTTTTGTTGGATGTAATTCGTTTCTTCGTGTTTAATTGAACGCCTTAAATATTTTAAATCTATCTTGCTTTCTACTTGTATTGTTTGTATTTTAATCCCCATATACTGACGCTGAAAAAAAAAAGATTAAGAAAATGTAGCATTTCTTGTTATTTTCGATGTTTCTGTATTCTTGGTACTTGTAAGCTTTCTAAGGCAAGGATGTAATTTTTATATTCTTACTTCCAGGCCATAAATGGGATGAAAACAAAGAAAACCTTTTGGAGACAGTTGTTACCCTGTCCCCGACATCGCATCGGAACTCCCTCTCGAGATCGTTCCTGTCAATTACCGCGGCTCAGAGTGCATTGAGCTCTCGGGAGCGGCAACATCAACGTGTGCTCGGAGCCTCCAGTGCCATGACATCCCCACTGCGCCACCTGCGCTTCTCTGATCCAAACCTCGTACTGTCCGGAGTTGCGACAAACACAGGTCCTTTGTCGCCTTCTCTCACAGACCTTCTGGAGAGACCTGACGACGACACCGCCAGCCGGCGCAGTGAGAGCCCTGACTTGGGTCTTGGCTCTTCCGACAATGGTCAGATGTCCAGCCTTGAACGGGTCATATGCCACGTCTCTAATCATGACTCGAAGAAATATGATCACTTGCCTGAGTCTTCGCAGAAACTTTCGTCGCTGGAATGGAACAAAACGCGTTCTCCTAAGGGCGCATCGGCGTCTAGCTCTGACATCAGTGCGATGCCGTTGGAACTGCCCATCGATGTCGTCATTTCCGACCGACATTCTCTTCCTCCTGTCGCTTCTGGTCAGCTGTGTGCCGTACAAAGTAAGCTCCCAAGACCTATCCGTTCTTGCTTCACTTTACTTAGTTCCTGAAGACATATATTTTCTGAGCTTACATGTGACCTTATAACCATTTTGTTATAAATTTTGAAGTAATTCAAACGAAAGGAGGAACCGTTTTCCATTTTTTCACGCGTGTTGTATCCTGCAGGTCACAGTTCACTAGCGTCTACTAACGAGACTCTAAGCAGACAAGTGCAGGCGTTACAGGAGCGCCTACAGAGCAGCAACGCGCGCCTCACGGAAGCTCTTGAGCAACTTAATGAAGCGAACGCACGTAAGCAGTCGGTCGAGCGCGCCATCTGCAGACAACTCACAAAGACGCACCAGGTCCTGAGACGAGCTAAAGGCAACCTCGAGGCGAGGAATGAATCCACGTCTAGAGCTGCGGCAGATCGACACTCGTCGCTTAACTAACGAACTCGAGATCGTATATTAAGTTCTAGTTTTCGAATGACTGGCGATTTCATTTTATAGCTGAGGCTGGCTGGATAAATTTGGATATATAACTTCATTTATTCAGTTATTTCGAATCGGCTTTGAATAATTTTGTCGGAAAGGATTTTATGACAAAACAAGAGATGCTTCTCGATGGCTATAGTTTGAGCTATTCTATTGTTCTGGATAGGTTTCATTGCGCACGTAAACCTCGACATCCAAGGTGGGAAGCTCAAAAATTCATGATATTTACTTATCCTCATTCATTTATTTGCGTTACTTCGCTGTATAGTACACGCATTGAACGAGTACTGTAGAATCTGCATCACCTACTTTATCCGCTGACATTCGAGATAAATGTTTACATGATCTCCATTGGTGTCTGCGGGGATGACTACATCCTGCCTTCTTCTGGTAGACTGAACTTCTCAAACAAATTTCCACCACCTCTCGTTCTTGCCATCTTTTCGGAAGGCTTTGAACTATATATTGATTTTAACCTGAAAATATTCCCGTCCTCGTTTGATCGCGTGCTCTAGGTGCTGACCTAGCGACGGTATTTGTGTCGTTTTCAATCTCGAGAAGCCAATCTTCGATGTGCGAAACTTTAGTCTCTTTCGATAATGAAACCCGTATTTTGCGATGTTATTTTTTGATAAATCAATGTTACTGTTGGATATGCATCGAAATAATCTATTTTCCTTCACTGAGGTAGTAGAATAATGGAACATTTGATACTCGTTATAGAGCACAGGATTTTGATCAAATTTAGAAGATAAGCTTATTCATTAGAATTATTCGAGATTAGAGATTCTCAGAAGGTTGGCAATAACTCAATTCTGAAGCTTGAGCTGCACACTAGTGCTGTGAACTTGCTCTTATTTTATAAGAAATTCTACTTTGTCATTTGAATCCACTTGAATGATCACAAGACTTCATTTTCGTCGGTTTTGGCAAGACTTTCAAACACTGGTGTATTAATAATGAACACATATATGATGAAATGGCCTTTGGTGGAGCAATCATGAGTCCGTGTTTTTCTAGTGAATGTTATTCTTCGCGAATAATGGGAATGAGATTAAGTGTGACTTGCTCGGTATAGATTCATTTGGGATTTGCTACTCAAATTTTGAAATGCCACAGATTATGAACTTTACATCGGCGATAGAATTGACCGTCTAAATGTCAAGTTTCAGTGTCTAAACATGGGTGGTAACTCGTGTCAGTGATTGATTTTAATTTAAAATAGCGGATTAAATATTTCTAGAGGTGCCAACATTCCAACGTTCTTCCTCCTCCTCCTGAGTTGGGTTTCTGTCAGGCAGCAGATCAACCCGCTGGTTGTGGAGAGACGGACGCCTTTACCTCTGAAAATATGATTGAATATTAACTTATGTTACATCACTTAACCAGAAAACAGTCTACTACAAAATCTACATATCAACAAATCATATGTAAATTTATACATAGGATTATTTGTTGTACATTTGCTCCTGCTCAACCTTCTGACATCAGTCGTATATGTTTATGTAACTCTGTAGTTCTGTTACAATGTTCACACAAAACATTTACGTGACTCGTTATGAATTCAGACTAACATTATAGACCGTATCAGCTCAAACGTTGATTGCGGTGGGCTTCCTCGAAAATGCTTCTTATATGTTTTATATTTTAGATGTCTTCCATTTACAGTTCATGTTTTTCGCGTTAATTACTTCCCCCGGCTTAGTTATTTCTCGTATGTTGCTGCATTTAATCTTCGGCTACCGATTTCACTTGCGAAAGCTGACGATGATCGTTCGAAGATTTCTAGTCTATAAGGCAGTTGTTTAAAATAAACTTTAACACGTATACTTGCGTTTATTTGCTATTTCTTTCTCTCCGAATTTTCACAGTTATTGCCTGATTTTACTCGAAAGTAAATCTTGACTTCATGAGTGGGTTTAATGAAACTTTTTGAGATCAATAGGGTATGGGAAAAATAGTACAATTCTTGCACATACGCGCTTTTAAGTAATAGTGATGGTGCAATGAATTGTAGTGAAAGGTACAGTTGATTGATTGTGATGAATGGTGCAATAAGATGGATAATAATAGATGAGCGTTACCTTACAGCATCGAAGCGATTCTATTAAACCTATAGCTTAAGGCCATAGTTTTTTCGTCTCTAGCTCTATTATCAACCAGTTCCAGGCTTACTATCCAATGTTTTTGAACAAAAACTCGTTCTGGCCTCTAAAAAGTTCATTCTCAATCTCGAACCTCATATAGGAAACCTCAACTCATCCACCCATTTGTCAACGTCCCAAGGTTCCTTTGTTAAAAATATTATTTCGTTGGCAACGAAATTATAAGTATCGTGGATGCGCACACAAATTAACTCTGTATATCTTCAGCGACAAATAAAAACACAAACTTTAATAAATGCTGATAATAATTGCACAATTGTATTAACAGTAATTTGATGAACGTGAAGAGTGTACTCACCCCTGTCAGTGAAGGACAGTGAGAGGGGCGCGTCGGGCTCGTTGATCAAGCGCACCTTGCACCCCAACTTTGGTCCGTGCCACTTCAACGTAAAATTATTCACCATCTGATAAAAAGTTAGCCTTAGTCGTGACAATTTTCTCAGTCTTGTATTACTAGTATTACGAACATTATTCAGTGACGCAAGTGTACTCAGAAATCAGTCAGTGAAGCCGAATCCCGGTCATTCAACCGTACGGTTTCTCAAGTTGTTATAACTTTTCTCCCATTATATCGCAATTTTCATTACTCTACATCCGTGCAGAAACCAAATAGATATTTAATTTCATGCACGTTATTATCAATAGACGTTATCATCAATCGAAAATCCCACTGACTTTAACAATCTCCATTGCTCTTTGTCCTAAATGTTTGGTAGCTATAGAAGTATGAAAATTAACGCCATAGACTGTGCAATAGTAATTATTGCCTAGGCTAGGACGTATAGGCAATAAATATTTTACAAATTGATTGCACTGACGTGTAGCAATGTCGTGTGGACAAATGAAAATTAACGCCGTGGACTGTACAATAGTAATTATTGCCTAGGCTAGGGCGTACAGGCAATAAATATTCTACTTAATTATGGCACTGACGTGTAGCAATGTCGTGTGGACAAATGAAAATTAACGCCGTGAACTGTACAATAGTAATTAGTGCCTAGGCTAAGGCGTATTTTTACGCTAGGGCGTACAGGCTTTTACGTATTTTACTTAATTATGGCACTAACGTGTAGCAATGTCGTGTGGACAGCCTGACGAGCAATGCTGCGCGCTATGCACATTCTGCTGCCCTGACCGAAGGGCAGAAGCGCGTGGCTGTGGTGGAGCTCGGCGCTGTCCTCCAAGAAGCGCTCGGGCCTGAAGGCCTCAGGGTCGCGGAAGTAGAGCGGGTTGCTTCCGATGTGTTGGTTCATCGAGACTATCGTTGTCTGCAGGAATACAGGAGGATTTTTAACATTTATTTTCATTCTGCGGCTATAAAATGGACAATTGCTTAGATTATGAATCAAAATGAAAAGCAGTGGATGGAAAACTGCGTGATTATTTCAATATTTGAAAATTCATATTTCATTTTACCGAGCACGCATGCTAACAAAACTTGTTCATTTAATTGAACATGACCATATATAAGGTCATGAGGCTTTACTCGCTGCAGTTTTAATAAAATTACCGTGAAAGCATCGTCTGATCTAACTTTGAATGACCCGCAAGTACGTGGAAAAATACTCTTGTGTATTTCATTATTATATTTTCCGGCTTATTTCCTTTTGCGTTGCCGATAAATGCATCCAAAGCCTGCCGATAAAGGCGTCCAAAATCTGCCGATAATGGCTTTGGTGTTATAAAATATGTCTCAATCTCTTGTTTTTTTTTCTATCGTGACGGCAGCATCGTACAATCAGAACGTCAAAAGCTTGTACTCATACCCCAGCAGGGATGTGTTACTCATACCCCAGCAGGGATGTGTTACTCATACCCCAGCAGGGATGTGGTACTCATACCCCGGCAGGGATGTATTACTCATACCCCAGCAGAGATGTGTTACTCATACCCCAGCAGGGATGTGATACTCATACCCCAGCAGGGATGTGTTACTCATACCCCAGCAGGGATGTGTTACTCATACCCCAGCAGGGATGTGATACTCATACCCCAGCAGGGATGTGTTACTCATACCCCAGCAGGGATAAGTTACTCATACCCCAGCAGGGATGTGGTAGCCCCGGAGCAGGATGGGGGAGTAGTTGATCCTGCCGATTCCTATGGAGATGGGGATAAGTCGCATGCTCTCCTTCAGCGCCGCCCTCGTATACTTTGCCGCACGCAATACATCTTCTGTCACCTGCTTTCGTAAGACAAGGTTAGTCTTGAAATAATCTCATCTATTTTAATCAAAGTAGACAAAATAAGTACTAAAATTCATCAAAATTTCGATGGATGCACCTGTTTTATAATCGAAATTGTTCGCAACTAACAGTTTGAACACTTAGCCGTGGATTGATATTTCTTACAATTAGAATCCTGAACATTATAAGATCCGCACACTATAAATATTAAGGATCATAACTGATGATAGGTAGACCCGCCGTCTAATGCTGGACATGACCAAGCAATGGTAGTTCCGTCTACTATGTTAACACTAAATTAGCGATGCATGAGCTCAACACAAGACGTACCCGACCATGCGATGTCGCCATCAGAGCGTGCGTCTCATCGGCCAGCCGTTGCTGAGGGCCGCTGTTACAGGCGAGATGGTACAGCGCAAACGCTAGCGCGTACGACGTCTGGAACGCACGTGCACATAGTCAGTTGCGTTCAATCCATGAACTTATATCACTTTATTCAGCAATGGAAATTTATGCGCGAAATCGTGTCGAATAATCGGTTATGCGCGAAATCGAAATTGTTTCGAAGAATCGATTATGTGTGAAATAAAAAGAATCAGGAAATTATTTAAATTCCTTTTTTTTTCAGGAATAGTACTCCAGGTAGTAGTTAAATAGGGATTAAATAAATGTAATTGCTTTTTATTAACACGGTCATGAAACATTACAAAGAAAATTGTTCATTGTAATTAGTGAATTTGAACCAGCAAATAAATTTTTTGATAAAATAGTTACCTAACTGTTTGCCCATCACGGAGATCTAAGTATTTAAAAAAACTTTATTAGGTCATAGTTTATATGATATTGACTCTCACATTATCTTGTAACGAAGTTGATTATTCGTTCCCAACTGTGGACCAAATTGTCTAATATCAATCTAAATTGGTTTTCTCAAGCACCGTCTCCATTGCGTCCGTGAAGGCGTGAACAATGCAAAAGATACATATTTTGTCTAGTTTCAACACTTATTTCCCAAGGACCGTCTTCTTAGCGTGTTTCCTGTCAGAATTGGCAAGGAGGCCGGGCGGTTAAGTTAAGCAAAGCAAACTTGAAGCAGTGAGTTGTGCGTTCGAGACCCCAACAATATTCTGCGATGTTAAGAATCGGCGACAGGCCTATGGCCTTACAAACGCTGAAACTGTTATTATTATTATATTATTACTATTATATTATTATATATTATGATGAGCTCACGGTGTCGACGCCGGCCATGAGAGCATCACACAGCAGCCCCATAACCTCCCGCTCCCCCAGCTGCTGAGCCCGCATCAGGCCCTCCAGGACGGTGGTGCCACCACCCGAGGGCGCCTCTTCACTCCCCTTGCGGGATTTGGCTTCTTCGTACTTCTGCTTCGCCACACTTGCAGGATGAAAGATTACATTTATTTTCTGTCATAACAACGTGCGGTAGTTTTTTGAGTGCAGGACTCCATATCTCCTATGAGTTAACAGGCAAGTTTTTAAAAAGAGCTCAACTCTATCTAAATGCATGTAGTTTTACAAGCTTTAATTTACCGATATTACTCATCTTTTTACTGGCTTCAATGCTTCCTTCTGCCTTAATTGCAACTCATAAGCTGAGTGTACCTGTATATATAGTCCTGGCTATCGACCAGCTGTCGGTATAGGGGCGTGGAGACGTAACGATAGAGACGTAGAGGGCCGTTGTCCGTCTTAAATATGGCCCTCGTGGACCGCCCGCCGGCCTCCATCAGGGCCGAACACTGGGCAGAGGGACGCTCCGTAACGCAGCCGAAGCGCTCACCGAACAACACCATCAGCATCACTGTGCGTACAATATTTGAGCTCACAGCATATATAAAATTGTTCTAATTTCCAGCTTGGAAGAATCACTGTGCATACATCATTTGAGCTTCTTTTTTCAAACTGATCTAATTTCCAGCTTGGAAGAGTTCCGTGAACTCCGTTTACAAGGATGAAAATATTACTCGATAAAGATTTCATGTAAACTCATTGTATTTCTCACTGTAAATCCAGATTTTGATTATACCGGACCCATGCTATTTATGAAATCTAAAAAGAATCCATAATGGCAGTGGAACAACTCGAGAACTCGCCTTCCATGTTCATCATCTTGATGCGGTGCAGCAGGTCTGGAACCTGAAGATCTGCTGTACGTAGCGCTCGCAACAGAGAGATGAAATCCCGCACTATCTGCGGGAAAACACCATTGACTGGCATAAAACGTCGTATTTTTAGCTAATTTTTTCATTTATTGAAAATATACCCTATTGTATTCGTCATATCCTTCTGTCTGTCCGTCTGTCTGACCGTCCGTCTGTCCGTGACTTCACGTTTTCGTCGACGAGAAAATGCGCGCTCTCTCACTCACTGCAGTGAGTAATGAGTTATATTTTTTGTCATCAGTAATTTTGCATCAATATTGTGGACGACCTTGATTTTTAGCAGATTTTAAGTGGACTAAAGATCGATTAATTTAGAGATATATGTATAAATATAACTCTGGTAAAATGGACGGAATTATTTACAATAGCATTTGTAAACTCCCGAACCTGGTCAACCTGCGGCAGGCGGGAAGCTACTACGTCGGGCCGGCCAAAAACTGCCTGTGATGGCCGCCGTAGCCGCAACCAATCTTCTCCGTTACTGCAATCGCAATGAAAAAATTAAGCAATAATATAATAGTATCTTATAAACGACAATTTTCCCGAATGTCGGCCTTTGAACAATAAATCTTGTGGAATTCGTCTTAACCGCCCATGTTAACAACTCTGCTACTGATAACAGCGTGTATATAAACTATATATGCTACGTTAATAGCTATGCTGAAAATATTTTTATCTATGTTTATAGTTTGCTTTAAAAACTGGGAGAAAATTATGTCTATTTATACTATAACGTTTCGGCCAAGCTACGAGTCTGAACCGCGGTAGCACATGTTGCACAGTGTCACTTACCACCGCAACATCGGTTTATTACCATGCATGCAAAGTCGAATGATTTTGATTATATTGCACTATTCTAAAGTGGCAAAGCTAATGCCATTTTTCTAAAAAATCAATAATTACTCAAATTTATCGGAGAATATTAATGAAAATTTAGTGATTGTATTTCTCCTTTGCTCTAGAAAGGAAAAACGTAACGCCGAAAAGATGGGGATCTTCTCTTATTAAAATTATTACATTTCCTTGGTGCTATCACATTGCACCTTGGTAATAGTCCTCCAGAACTGTACATGTGAGGCCTGTCAAGACGGTATTTCTGCAGTGCGAGGTGGGACCTTCTGTCAGGCCGGATCCGGGTCTGCAGAAGGAAGCTCTGCACGTCGTCAGGGTCAAAGACGGACAGCAAACCGGACCCATCAGGCAGCGTCTCTCGCACCAAAGGTCCGAACTCGTCATACTTCTGGCACGCCACTTCATGTAGGCGCTCCGGATCGTACCGGTCTGCCATTTCATAAAATACTTCTGTTATTTACCTTCTAAAATGTAATATTATTATAATTATCATCATAAAAATTCTTAATCTCGTACTCTCAGCGTAATTTTTCCTTGCGAATACTTCGTGTATGAAGATGAAATGAGGCTCACTGCGTCAACAAGCACAAATGAATGATAATATAGGATTTGAACGTAAGGATAGAAAATCCAAATATGGATCCAACTAAATATATCCAAATATAGATCCAACTCATGCAGCTTTCACCCATCGCAAAAAAGAACGCTTTTAGATCAACTAACTTGATCATTGTGTTGTGACTTCGAGTTTTCAACGGAATTATAAAACCCAGCCAATTATATCCCTTATCACATTATATTTTTTTTTTCTCAAAACATATTTACCTCATTCGGATTGTGATTGATTGATGATTAGTCTAGGAACTCAGTATTTTATCAGGCTCAAAAATAAACAATTAACCCGAGTTTAGCTTCGATACTCACTGGGGCCCGGGAGAATATATTTCCATACAGACCCGATGAGAGGTAGTGCGACCGGTCCAGGGATTTGCAAGAACGGCTTTACTTCCTGACATTTATTTTGTGTGTCGCCAGGGGCGCGTTTTATAGATGCTGCCGCTGAAACTATAGAACGACTCACACTTGGTCTCATCTTGACCACACAAATGTTCATTGTTCGTACAATGTTTTAGTTTTCATCTTGCCTCGATGATACATATGATAAGTAAATGAAAAGCATAAAGTCTAATTAACAATATGTCTGATAAGTCTAATTCAATTAATAGAACATCTGCAAACCTTACTGGTAGTATTGTCTATGAAAAATGAAGAAAAATGGGTACACAAATTTTAGAATTCGATTTGTGAACAGTGGGCAATTAACTCGGTCAAGATCCTATGATTTCTTGCACTCAGCAACATATTTCAAGTGAACATTAGATTAAATGAATAAACTTATAAAGTGATACAAAACACTGTTATTAAAAATATAAGATGAATTGAAATCCCAATAAAATTTAATAAACTTAAAGTCACTCTAAATTGTGTACACATTTATCAACAGGGCAAAGTCCAGGCCATTAATATTATTCGTTTATCAAAGCAAATAATATTGATGGGTAGTGAAGGGAAAGCATTTGCCCATAACCTCACCCTTCCAATCTGGTCTCTAGACTGAACAGTGAACACACGAGCGTCATGATTTTTTGCCTCGATATTTATTCCACCTCTTTTTGAAGGCCACGTATGGCAGCTTTCCGCAGTAATGGAAAAGTCTCAGTGTTTACTCTGTTCCGTACCAGGTGAGAGTTTCGTCTATAGAGATATTTGACTGTAATCTTACCGTTCAACAGACCAGAGCATTCAGTGTAATTTGGTGATTCATAAGATACGTTTTAATATTAAATCCGTATTGCGAAATATTGTTCACCGTTAAAGTTGATATAATATGTATCCAGTCTATTGTGACTGACACTGAATCGATGAATAGGAGTGGCAAGTGGTCAACTGATTGTTGTCGTTGTCTCGTTGACTGCGCGAACTGGTTCAGAGTTTTTTCGATAATTTCTGAGAGTCATGAACTAAGATTAGATTTGAATTGGCCTTTAAAATAATTCAGTCCAGGTTGCAATTCTGCATTCATATAAGTGTTACCGGTACTTATTTCCTGTTATTAGAACTTAGAAGCATTATTCAAGCATAGAAGAAAACTTGGCTGAAACATTTGTTGAACTTGAAGGCTTGAATTGAAAAAAGGTAAGAAGTAAAAAAATAATCCTCATTTAGCATTATTTCTAATTTAATTGCCAAAAATTTACTAGCTATGCAGACTTTCAGAGTTTAGATACTACTAGGGAGGGAGTAGGGACTCAGGGAGTAGAGTGCAGTCAGTGCACTGTGCAGTGAGTGAGCATTTGTGCAGAGTAAGCAAACATCTAAAGATCTTTAGCAAAACAGCTTTTCTATAAATCTATGTCTTCAGAGTGCAAAAGATCTTGAAACATATTTTTGCTCTAAATATCTAGGTAGATTCAGGTAGATTTAGGCTTGTGACTACAAATCCTTAATAAAATTAGGCCTAGCCACACTTTGGGTCTAAAAATCTAATCTTGGCAAAAAAATTAATAAACTCTGCAAGTCTGCATAGTGAGATGGATATTAATATTTTATTTTACCTAATTGATAAAATTTATAATATCTCTTTAAGAATTATATCGTGAGATAGATTTCAAGCACATAATTTACTCTCTTGTTATTTAGTTGTTAATTCCCTCAATTTCCCTGTTATGTTTTGGTGTGAAATAAATCTACTTTCTTACCACACTCAGGATGATGTATGTTTTCGGTAAATTTTCCCGTGCATTTTCACTTTTTTTAAGCTATTGCTGTGCACAGTTGGCGCAATGCAATGAAAATTGATTATCTTTGCGCACGTGTTCGCGCAATCCCGGCCATCTTTATTTTAGAAGAAATTTTCTCCAAAGTCATATGGCAACACTGAACACCGTCTGTTTACATTTCGTATGTATAACAGCCGCAGTTTACGATTACTGTACGTTCCGTAACCGACAAGGCGGACAACCGGAAGAGTCAGAAGTAACCCGGACATGTCTTACATTTTATTATTGTCAGTTCGACTCGCGTAGTCAATATACTTGCCTATATTGTCGACTAAAATAGTAGAACTATTTTAGCTTTCTAAAGTACGGCGCACAGCGCATTTTTTTACCAACGTAGTACGGCGCACCGCGCAGGTCGTTAAAATGACAAAATAAATTCCCGCGCACCTGGCACATCTTCCTGACCATGGCTTTCTTAGCCTTAACCCTTTTGCAACAACTTTTTTTAATGGCACATTTTCCAAAAGTCGTAACAAAAGTAACAACATAAGATCTAAACATAAGCAAAAAGTAACACTTTTGTTACGAACGTAACACCTCTGGCTAGAGGCAGGAAAATGATGTGTTGTGAAAAAAAAGTCGCGCTAATCAAAACTGGCACCGCGTAGATTAAGGGTAGGTCGCAAATTTTTTTTCCGCATTAATCAAAACCGCGGTATTCAAAACCGTGCTAATCAAGGGATTGCTGTATTATGGAGCATATTTGAAAGGCAATGCTACAGTACACCTAGGCATTAGAGGGTTAAACCCTCAACTAGAGCTTTCCTACAATATTTGGAGCCATGGGCATGAGATACTCACTCAATAGATTACCTTCATTCTAATTGATAATAAACCCATCTAAGTGCATGATCTAGCCATGAAATTTCAAAGTTGTCCAAATATATCATTTTGAAGCTGCAAGATTTGAATATTAAGTGGAAACTTTTTAATCCTGCTACTTTTGAATCAACATTTTCAAGATGCATGTATCTATTTTTATTTCACTTGACTCAAACCAAACAAGGAAAATGAAAGATGTAATAAATGAAATGGTATATTAAAAAAATACTAGTAGTGTATGTGCTAGCTATAAAAAAGTCATAATCTAATAATAGATAACAAATATTCTCCATAAACTTAAACCCTAAGCATATTAGAAATTATATACAATCACATGCTTGCATAAGCAATGTTTGAATTGAATTTATTCATGTTTCTGGCATTAAGAGATTCAGACTTTTATACTGCATTCACATATTCTCAAGTGTTGCTGAGGTTGCTTGCTGTTATAATGTTTTTAGCAATGTAGCTGCTTGATTTTTCAAAATTACAATTGACTATTTTTTATTTATTGGAATTGTACAAAATTTGTGTAAGAATAATGTATGTATGAGAAAAAAGCCTTCTTTAATTGAATGGAATCACAAAAATCAGATTGAAGGATTATCATTTATTTATAGTGGATTGTTTTTAATAGTGAATGCATGTAAGAAATGAAAATATCATAATCCAATGATAGTAATCTGCATTGGGCTTGATTATGTCACAAGATGGTTTTAGCAGGGTATTTGCTGGTATTGTAAGTTGAAGCCACGACCAACATGCTTACCATCACTCACAAATCTTGCAAAGAAAGGTCCATTTGTGTTATCTGCATAGTTGAAACTCTGATTAGTCATCTATGCAATCAAAATGTAATTATAAAATTGTAATATGTTAATATCTCTTGTACATATATAAAACGGTTGGACAATGGAAGTGAAACACCTGTAAAAGGATTTAATTTGGACCAGTCTGCTAGCTAATAGTCATTTAATGCATATTGCACCTGTGAGCTATGAGTGTGAGGGTTCAATAAGCAAGGTGAGAGCTCAGTTCTGGTCAAAATATTCAGGATGGATTTATGTAGCATATGGTCCAAACATTTGATAGTATTATGGAAGATTATATTACATATTATATTATGTATCCGAATGGAAGCCCTACACCTTGCTTATGAAATATTGTAGTCCTAAACCTGGTGTTTCATTTTCAATGTTCAACTCATGCCAATCATACCATTGAACAACATATTCAGTAAACACATGCCAATTCAAATCCTAATTAATTTTTCCATGAAACTAGTTCACTTCATAAATCAAAAAATCTTTTATTAGATTCTTAAACGGCCTTGCTAGACTTACAAATTACGGCACTTAAAATATTTTTGAGCACTCAAAATCGTTTTAGGAAACCGTACCAAATGGTATCAAAGATACGAAACATGTTTTGCTCACCGGTGACAGGCGCGTTGTTGGTAAACTTAGGGTCCTTGGAGCCGTCGTTGAGGATCATGCCACAAAGTCTCGTGCCGCTTAACTCCAAATAGTCTTGCGGACATTGCTGGATACCAACGCCTGCTTCTCCTTCGTTAACCGTCGGCACTTCGGTTCCGTCTGTGATTCGTAATATTTATGCCACTAGTTCATCAATTTGATCAAATTGTATTCCCATGAAATATTCTCACGTCGAACTGGTGTATTATTAAGGTAAACACTTACATTTGACACTAGTTCATTAGTTTGATTAAATTTCCTATGTTCTCTTGAAATATTCTCACTCGAACTGGTGTAGGTATTATATACGTAAACACGTACGTTTGATATCACATTTTAACAAGTATATATAACGCACAAAACATGTTTGCTCTACGGTACGTAAAATAAACTTAGAGAGTAAAGGTACGAAGATAGAAGTGTTAATTTGTGTACGTTGCAGTCAATTTAGTTTAAATTATATTGACTGAGGTACAAAGAAGAAAATTTATCTTCCCTTCAGCCCTAAGGGAAATCATTTAAAAGTGCGTAAGTCTGCGAGCTGTTTATTATTGTACTGTTTATTATTGTAGGCTGAATGCTCCATTGTGACTATCATGCCTGCAGATCACTGCTTTCATAACCCGAATTCCCAGAGCTATACGTCGACCTGAGATAATTGTATGTTTCATTGTTCTGCGCCGGTCGAGACGTCTTCGCACTAGCCTGCCGCTGCCATTGTTACTTGCTGTTTATCATGTGCGATTGTCACAGATCTTTCTGGCCATGCAAATTCTCAATAATATATATCTGTTTTTTTTTGGGCCGCGTTCTGAGGTGAGATTCTCATCGCCGAGCGACAATTGAACTTAAGACATTTTTCCTCAGTTGTTTTTAAAATAGTCTTGAGATCTTAAGATTAATACTGAATGCGCCATAAATTATGTACGGATACTAAGCATTCTATATTTAATTCAGCTCTGCGGCTCATTTTGTTTGAGGGCTTTCGTTTATTGTTTTACTTGGGCATTGTGAAGGCAGTATAACCTAATGCATATAATTTCATGACTTAATTAAGACCTGCATGATATTTTGGTCAAAATATTTCCAAAATTGAAGTCTATAGAGTAATCCTTCCTAATATTGTATTAATAATCGCATGTAATCGGATTGAAGTAATCATACCTGATAGGGTTGCCATGTTGACGATATCGAAGGCCGCTTGCACTCTTGCCGGAGGATTGTTGCTGTATTGGATGCTACAGAATCCGCGCTCCTTGCGCATACACATTGCATANTCTTGGCGGAGGATTGTTGCTGTATTGGATGCTACAGAATCCGCGCTCCTTGCGCATGCACATTGCATAATTCTGAAAGTTCTGTGAACACAAAAAATATTTTTTGTAAGAAAAAGTAGAGATTTATTTTGAAAAGCTAAAAATTTAAATCGAAGTGTCAGTATTTCAATCAATATCAATTGAAGTGGTGATTGAGGTTTATTAAAAGTAGAATGCGAGATATAATTCATGACTATATTACACGTAGCGAAAACAGTTTGATGAACTGTTCGATATACGGTACATGAGAAACATGGCTCGATTACTCTGTTGACAGAAATTTAAAACACTTCGAAATTGTGTTCAGATTTGGATCAACTTGAATTTGAATACTGCTAATAATCAGATGCATTGTTGACCTTTTAAACCTGGGTTGAATATAATTTTAACATTTTAATTCATGTGTATGCCATAGGTAATAATACGAGTACATGTGTTAGAATGCATTGCTGCCTGCACTACAAATAAGGAGTAAAGCAAAGGGACGAGCCAATTGTTACCGTATACGTCGTCTCTCCGTCTGTCCTGTAATTGAAGCTGGTTATGTTGTTCATTGTTCCCGTGAAATATTGAAGACAATTGGTCGTCGGTCTGCTCGGGTTGTCACACTCGATCTGTGAAAATACCAGACTATTTTTCTCCTAAGACTTTAAACTAACTGGTGATAATGATTCAACGACACAAGCGTTACACTGCATTCGTATCTACCAATAGTTAGAGATGGAATTTTAATCCTGCCTGTAGATTTTAATTGAAATGACTTCAGATTCGTATCTACCAATATTTTTAGATTGCCTTTTCATCCTGACTGTAGATTTCAATTGAAATGACATCAGATCTAAGTTATTCTTCCTCACCTGAGCTATTTGTATTTGCCACTGTCGTGCAAAATCTCCCGATGACACGACGTGAAGCTCCAGCGGCCCTGGCACGGTGTCCACATCTATGTAAACTGCAACAAATGTTGCTGGGTTATGGATGATGAAGGTAGCGATGTATAATTTCGAATAAATTTAGTTGAACAATTCAAGAAAACAGTTTACATGGTTTAGATATAACGAAATTATTCAAATTTCATTAGTAAGTTTTACTAAAAAATTGAATAATTTTTTCTGAAAAGGTACGTTAAGGTAAATATCAAGACGTTATACGTCAGTTAAAATTTACACCAAGCGCTCAGGCACGATTGTATTTCGCTCCCATGTTCTTGTTCCGAAAGTAGCGATTAGTTGTAAACCTATTCGTTTAGATAATCAATTGAAGATATTAATGCCCACTGTGTTGGCCTGTGTTGAGGCCGCAGAGGTAGGGTATGCCGCTGTTGAGGTTCTGTCCGTACACAGCCAGGCGATCTTTCTGACATACGCCGTCCTCGGGAGGTGCAAGCTGAACAAACAGTGGTTAACTTAATTATATATGAGATAAGTTGAAGTAATTTTCATGGCTGTAGCAATGATAGGTTAAGGCAATTCATATGATTCTATACCCATCGGCGCCATGTACATTGTATTATTTTTACTGGAATTATTCAGCGCAGAATATTTTAAAAAGTAGTGCTCATATACCAACGTTATTTAATTTTTTCACTCAGTATTAAAATTATTCATCATGTTTCCATGTCAAGATCATGAAACATGATCTTGACGGAACTGAGCTGACGAAATCAAATATTTTCGTCCTCAATTTTGATGGAAAGGCTTTCGTGTCTCGACGTTCAGGGAGAGGATCTGATACATCGAAATTGTTCAACGGTATTGTGAACCTCGGTCTTAATTGATTAAATGGCTTTTACGCATCGAGCGTAACTGAATAATTGACATACCTCGAACTTAATACAATCAGATTCGTTCTTTGAATTTGGTTCATTGAGTTTCGTAACTCGAACTTGATGCAATGAGTTTTGTACCTAGTACCAGACAACAAATTTTTCGTACACCGAACTTGGTATTGGTATGTGGTATTGGAATCTCGAACTTGATTGAATTATAGGTACTCATTTTGCTTGATCTTTTTAAAATGAGTTTCGCACCTCAAACTTGATGAAGTCCAGCCTAAGTGAGCAGATGTTGCGATGTAGTTTGTTAACTTTGATGATGCAGGTAGCGCTGCTTGCAGTTGCTGGCTGCTGGGCTGTTGTGAATATTAAAGCTAAATACATCCGCAGAAGCCAAATCAGCGTAAAAATGGCAAGAAGTAGTGTGATAGGTACCAGTTAAATGCGACTTAAAATTTTAGACAGTGAAAATATTCTATTTGTTATGTGATTCATGGCAGTGTGTAAAATTTATCACGGATCTTTCACTTGTGTCTTCAGAAAGAAATCTTTTACAAGTGATGAAGTACATATACTTCGATGAAAGTGATGTCCGAGGATTCGTTGTAGATATTTCAACTTGATATGAATAATACACTGGGTTTTAAACTCACGGATGCAGCACATGGTGGTGCTGGTGCAGCCCTCATCAGTAGGTGTACCGCCCATGTTACGGCACAAATCGCTTGTTGTACACACGCCATCAATGCATGAATAATACACTGGGTTTTAAACTCACGGATGCAGCACATGGTGGTGCTGGTGCAGCCTTCATCAGTAGGTGTGCCGCCCATGTTACGGCACACATCGCTTGTCATACACACGCCAGCGATGCCGCGCCTGTCCGTGCAGGGGATATCTGCGCCTGGTGGCTCCGCGTTATCCTTGAGCAGACGAAACAACTTCTCCAGTGTGAAAACTGCGGGGAGATGATAACAGCTTATGATTTGTGTGACGCATTGTTACAACCTGTTACATATTCAAGATAAAACCAGGATATTAAAGAATTCACCGCGAAAAGTATTATTTTTCCAATTTCCTCATTTTTACACCCTGTTACATATTTAATATGGAGCGAAAATATCAAAGAATTCACCTCGAAAAGTTATTAGTTTTTTTAATTTCTATCTTGGTAGAATTTTAGCGGTTCTTCTTACTTTTGCAACAACTCCAACGTGCACTGAGCCTAATTTTGATTTTCTCATGTCATGTTTAATCTTAAAAATTATTTACCGAGTTATTCAGATAGCTTGACTGGACCATTGACGAAATTTCAGAGTATAAGTATCTGCCATAAATAAAGTATGTTTTGTGGGATATCACTTCTTTTTTACATGTCGCTACCTCGACAGTTTGCGGACTTGCAAAACGAGGCACTTGGAAGTTAATCGTTGCGACCGCTTAAATATATCTACTGGTCAGCAGATGTTATATCACAAAAACACATCGCTTCGTTCATACCTAATTACGCTGTGCATTTTAGGAACCAGTGTAAAGGTAAAGCTACTTGAATGTGAACAGTGCATGTTATAATGTGAAAAGGTCGGTTATATTGAATTGTTTTCCTATGTTTATTATGTATATGAGACTCAAGCGACGCTCATTCACAACTTATTATTATATTCGTAGCTCCCACCTGTCCAGCCAGAGAAGCTCCTCATGAGCTCCTGAAGCAGTCGTACAACTGACGGGACGATCGCAGAGACAGCGTCAAGTTTGAGGATAAAGTGCAAAGCGTTATTTCATGCTATCATTGAAGTAAATAACTTGCTTTATTTGTAAGCGGTCGGTGAGCAACTATAAAGTATATATAAACATTTAAACTATTAAATTTATGTGCAATTCAGTTACTAGCTATATAAATACACTATTTATTAGACCTACAATGTTTCATGCATTTTTTTGTATACTTACTAAATGCGGCAAATTTTGCAGTTGCGAGTGGCGTCTGCGTCGGTTCATTGTCAGTTTTCGTTTTTGATGTCTCTTGTCTACTTTGTCGTCAAGAATTCGTAGTGGAGGGATGAGTTTTCGTTTGTTTGTCATTTTGCGCATTCAGTTGTTTGGAGTCTTGCATTTTGAAGGCACTTATATTCAAAACGTTTCAAGCGTAAATTTGTTTCACTGTGAGCAGCCTGTCTTGTCACACTTGTCGGTTATCAAGTTTGTGAGATGATCCGTATTGGTCGTTGTTTATATAACAATAAGCGTATTTATTTTTGCAGCGATAACATTAACTGTGCATTTATACACTGTACATAACTTAAACATATTTGTATCGTTTTCACTCACTTTGCGACACCCTGTCTGGACCGTTGGGCACTCCGTAACCTCCATACGAATTATTCGTTCCTGGAACAGGACGCCCGTAGGACCCTGTCCCGCTGTAGTTCCCACCTCCTGATGGATACCCTGGTCCGCTTGAGTTATCCATGCCTGAGGAACTACCCCCGTATGAGGATGGTGTGTTGGAAGGTGTTGCGTAAGAAGGAGATCCAGTGGGTGGAGTTCCGTACGATGCGCTAACGTAGCTGTACGATGAGTCTTGCGTTGGGGCAGTTGATCCTACCCATAAAGGAGGATTTGGTTGCGGCAACACGGCATCCAGCTCGTTTTGTGCGGTGGTAGAGATGGCTGAAGTGTAGCTACTACCAAAGGCACTATTTAATGGAGGCGATATGAGGGGTTGAAAATTCTGAGGCGTAGACTGCGGAGCAATTACAAAGCCTTGACTTAGTAAGTGGTTGATACTGAAAGCCGGTTCTTCTATTGTCGCCAAAGCAATTTGAGGGAAGCCTGGTTCAACGCCGACATTCGCCGTGACTTTCGTTCTGAACGTGACGGGATTAGGGAATGGTCGTAATAGCGTTCGTTCTTCTTGTGGCTCTACTTTTCTCCCTTCGAGTTTTTTGCTAAGGTTACTTTTTGGAAAAACATCTTTTAATTTGTTTGGCTTCAGTAATGTATTAATAGGCGTTTCAGTGAGTGGACTTTCTGATGTTTTGACGTCCCAGTAAGAAGTTCGATCTTTCACTGGCTCTGGCGTTTTAGCGTCAATTTCGATCGCATTGTATCTGCTCTTGCTGGAATAAAGTGAAGGATTTGGACCTTTATACCGCACTCCTCGCTCTATCAGGATGTTTTCCTGACCTTCCTGGTCTGTTACGATGGCGTGTGCAGTCCAAGTTCGACGGCTTTTGTCATCCGTGTTATCGTCTGAGGCGAATGTGCCCCAGTATTTCTTCCCATCTCTCGTGTAACCGTAAGGTATTTTTCTCCGTAAATTTGTTGATTGTGCAAGTGAATGTACATTTCTCAAATGCACGAGGTTTTGAACGTGTTCTAGACGCGTTGTGTCGGTGTATCTGTCGTACAGGTGGGAAGGGGTAGCAGCAGTTGGTCTGTAAGACTTGATGTGTTGACTTGAAGACTTGGTAGAATATGTCTGATGTGTGGGTTTGTGGCGTTGCAAGCTATGCTTGTATTTTTCTGGAATTATCTTACTCACGTGGCTATTGTATGCATATCTGTCTGGAGGCTTGTTGTCATGAATACTTATTGTTGCAATCTCAGGCGGGGTAAAAGGCCTGTCGATGTAAGGTTCAATGAACGCAGATCCAAAATCTGCAAATCCATGAACAAATCGATCGTTTGGTCTCTCGGTCGGGGCAATGTAGCCATATATTGTTTTTTCTCTCGTATTAGGTCTCCTCTCTATCTGGGATCCGTCTGACTGCTCGTATAACCGCTTGAATTCTTCGGGCGATAAGCTGTTTACTGTAGTGCCTGCTATCAGGATGAGCAGTAGGAAAATGGGGAGAGAGCGAATCTTACTCGACTTCATGATGATAATATGTTTAATTTTTTCCATTATATTATTGAAATTTTTCAAATTTTTGCCTATGTTTATAAAATATAAGAGTTCGTTTCACACCTCTGCGCCCAGCTAAAGAAATTGACTTGCTTTGCTGGCTTTTTACTGAGAAACTTATAGAAGTGTCCGGCATAAGTTGAAACTTCTTCCTATCGTTCCATTCATTCTACCTATGCTTTATAGGCTTGACAGGATTGACTTTTATACGGAATTGCTGTGCTTGATGTCCATATCTTCTTTGGTGGTTTTACGCATTTCCTTCATTAAAATGACAAGTTTACAATAGCAAAAATATTGAGCTTATCTGTGAATAAGAAAGCAGGCTTACAATAACGTGCACAAATATAAACACAATAAATAGTATATATATAAACAATATAAAATCATATTATGTGTGCTGATGAGAGTTCATCATCGTTTATGTTGCAAATTTTCATAAAGTGCATCGCTATGCAGCCAATAACTGAATAAATAAGGAAACTCGCTAATTACAAGAACATATCCAACAAAGATGTGTTTACTTATAAGTTATAACTATATTCCTTAATTATAAAAGTTTGTTCCTTTACTTAGCATTGGTTCTAAATTGCTATTTACAATCCGGCAGTTTGACAAGGGGATTTTTGCCGCGGTATATTTCTATATAAACAAAAATATTCTAAGTGCGCCCGCTCTGCTGATATCTGAAACAATAGCAAAGTAGCCCTTGGAACGTTTTCTTTTATATGATTCGTACAGAAAATGTTTTGAGGGTAGACTGCACGTTGCAAAATATGTTCAGCTAAAGCAGTGTATAGTATCTTCGGCATTAAATAAATAGGCCTGGATAGGCCTGTCGCTAGTTGTGGTTTCAAAAGTTGTGTTTGCGCACCACTAGTGGCACGTGATTGCGTGCACTAGTGGTGCGTGAGCCACTAGTGTTAAGTGATTTCATGTACTATAGTGGAATTAGTGGTACGGTACATGATTGCGTGAGCTAGTGGTGCGTGCTTCACTAGTGTTGACTGTTGAGTGATGATGACATGTACTAGTGGAACTAGTGGCACGTGATTGCGTGCACTAGTGGTACGTGACCCACTAGTGTTTAGTGATGGCAAGTACTTATGGAACTAGTGGTACGTGATGATACGTACTACTGCTAGTATTACGTGAGACATTGAGCGTGCTTAGTGCTTACTAGTGTTATGCGTATATTTTAAGGGTAAAGAACGATTTTTATCTAGGTAATTTTTTGCTTTACAATAACATTTACAGACTCCCAGCTTCTTACTGTATAATCTGGAAATGATTTACCACAGGTGCCTCGTCCCTGCCGTCAAATCATTCAAATGTTAAATGGAATATTTGATACATAATAATAGGTTAAATGTTGCATAAAAGCGCTGGTAAAGAATGGTCTTCTTCAATTTTGTTTTGATCGTAAAGCGGAACGCTGATTAACTAGTGTTAAAAAGTACTTATTCTCGGAACTTAAAATAGTACTGAAATAGTACTTAAAATAGCATCTACAAGATATATGTCCTCACCAAAGTTGGTATAACGATTTTTGTGATTCTCTGTCCATTTTTTCGTCTGTTCTGGGAGGTTTTTGCTCTATAGTTAATTTGTTACGAAATAAACTTCACAAAAGTGTAAATTAACTAATTAATATTATAAGTACTGCAGACTTAAATGCACTCTATGTTTAGCATCATTTTTAACTTTCGTTTAAATCTAACTTGTATGCTGTAAATTCTCACGTGGAATATACACTTGTTTTCTTTTAAAAATGTGCAAGTCCTGTTTGCCTGTTATCCAAGCCTAGAATTTTTTGAACTATGCTAGAGTCAAATACTCCCATTTTGGGAAAGATTTTAAAGTTTTACGTTCATATCCTTACGAAGGAAAACTGGAAGTGTTTTTTTTTTTTTGAAGACTGAACTATACCTGTAGATAAGACTACACGGAACCTACAAGCGGTACGCGATCACAATAATTATGCGAAATACTGGGGTTAGACAAAATAAGGGAAACGCCTGAGAAATCCGCGTAAAATATCTTAGTATGTTGTAGGTCCACCTTTTTACATCATACTAAATTAAAGCCTGGGTTATCTGAGGCATTGATTGGTACAAATTGTGATTTGTTTCCAAATGAATTTTAACTCCTTTTTAGCGCATTTTCTCATTTATGGAAAAAATGCACTATTGCGCTCGCCATGTCCGTCTGTCCGTCCGTCCGTGACTTCACGTTTTCGTCGACGAGAAAATGCGCTCTCTGTCACTCACTGCAGTGAGTACTGAGTTATATTTTTCAGTTAAACTCCCTCCAGCTCTTTAAAGACGATGGCGGCATGAATCGACTTATGACATGCATCTCAAATGTCAACCATAAATGCTTGATAATATTCAGGTCTGGTGATTGTGGTGGCCCAATGAGATGCTCAACTCCATTAGAATGTTCCTCGTGCCATTTTTTAACGATTCCAGCTGTATAGATCAGGGCATTATCACCTTGAAAGATGATATTCCCCTCCGGAAACAGTGCTTGAACCATTGGATGAACTTGGTCCTCCAAAATTCCTAAATAGTCACGGCTGTTCATTCCTCCGTAACTCTTTTGGCTGCTATGCAAGCGTAAAAGCGACCAGAGGTTGAAAATAAGGTAAACGATGATTAGTCAGCAAAAATCACATTTTTCCACTGCTCAAAGGACCAATTTTTGGTGTTTTTTACACCACTTTAAACGCATCGAAGCATTTGTACTTGAAGCCAGAGGTTTTCTAAATGCAGCTCTTCCATAGAATCCTAATCTGCATGTACAGCTCTCGGCGGACAGTCTTTATGGAAACTGGGTTCTGGTAGGTGTCCATTGAGGTCTGCTGTAAATCCTACAGCCGTGGTCTTTCGATTGTGGTTCATAATTCAATTTAGGTACCGTTGGTCACTTGGACAACTTCGACTTTCGGCCTGACCTGCACATGCGCTTTGCTGAGGACTTTTTTCCTCCTCATTCAAAAGCAGTCATTACTTTAAAGACAGTGGTACTTATAAAAACGTCAAGCATTCGGGAAGTTTCTGTCTCACTAGCACCTGTCTGTCATACGGGCATCAACAATTTGGCCTCTTTGAAAGTCAGAGAGGTTTGCCATTTATAGGTCATAGGTTAGGTTTTTGACACAAAAAATTTACTAAAAATATCTGTGTAATGATGAAATAGCAATTTACGGCACCAATAAGCGATAAAACATAAAAATATATCCAGTTTTCATTGATTATAACATGTTCAAAAATTATTATATGAAAATGGCAGGCGTTTCCTTTATTTTGTCCAACCCATGTGTGAGCTAAATTCCTGGCACTATTTATTTTGTTTTAATATTTGCGTACAACTCTTCTCAATTAGTTCAATCATTTCTAATAAAATTAAATAAGATGCTGGTATCTTTGTTATTGATTAAAACAGTTTTTACTTAAATCATCCCCCACCGCAATGTTAATTTAAAATTTTTACTTTCTCTACATGTTATTCACAGTGTAAGCAATTAATCATCCTGTTTAATAATCCATAATCACTGCAATAAAAATTATTTTAGAAATCCTAATTAGAAATGTATGAAAGTTATACTATCATTAATTTCAACATTTACGTTGAATAAAAGTTTGCATATTTGGCAGCGTTACGATAAAAAGTTGACTATGAGAAAAATTGAATTCAGATGACAGCTGAAAAGGCTGGTAATGAGACATAGGCCTGCGTTGAAAATATTGTTCAAAAATTGACATTAGATGTCATTACAATAGGAATTTCCTGTAAGTTATGTTATGGTCTTCTAAATCTTCATTCTCTACAATAGCTTAAATACTTTGACTGCCGGAAGCTTCATTCGAATTGAACATATCACGGCCTTGGCTCAGATTAGGCCTAGGTGTGCGTATCGGCACTGGGGTTTTGCTTAATTAACTAGCTTCGGAAGCTCGCACGAACATTTTGTCGACAACGCTTTACCACTCGACTGATTTTAGTTGGACAAATCATCACGCTATACCTACCGGAATAGTACAATTAGAATGGAAAGGTTTTTGAGTCGTCGCTTCCGTGCAATCGTTGAGTCGTCGTCAATCCGTGCAAAATTCATTAGGAGAGACATATGCCGCTGTTCATTGTTCTATGGCCACCGAAACTTCGTTCGCGATTTTCAATTGAGCAGATCGTCTGCTCGTTGCTGTTCTGATATCTATGTTAACACGAACTAATTTGAAAATAATTTCTTCACTATCTATTCTAGCGTTTCCTAAATAGCGGCAATTGCATTGGTTGTGTTACGAAGTCAAATTTGTTGACAGCTTAAAAAAAATTATTATCGATTTAGCGTACCATGTTAAAATGCAGAAGCGGAAGAAACATATATTGAAATCACGACAGATTCGGCCGCAGGCCTGACTCGTGAAAGTCACTTCTCTGGCTGGCGATTAGCGTGCATGTGGCGCAATAGGTTCCAGTCTGCATGCACTACGCAGGGAGATGTGGTATGGACACGCAATACAGATTTCGTTCCTCGTGATATCATGCGATCGTTTCAGCTGTAAATGGATTGAGTGAGAGTGCAGATTTAGTTACGTATTTCTCTCCGCATATGTGATGAGTTGTATAGTTTGTTTCCTCAGTTTGTGATAACGTAAATTTTAAATCAAATTTTGATGAAAAAGCAATACCTAGTTTAAATACTTTAAGTGTATTTCAAAATCGTAATAATCATGGTCAGTTTTCTAGCTGCAAGAATTTCACTCGATTATATATGTGAACGTTTCTAATGAAGAACTCGTATGAGGTGCAATGAATGCTGATCGTGTATGAGTTTTTATATGAGTTTGAGCGTGATTTTCGTAAGTGTGTTCCGGCTCAATGATCAATATTATTCATTTTGTGTAATATAAAAATATATATTTTACGCAATTTTAAGCGAAGACCAGAGAAAATGAATTAAAAATATTTATTTTAGCGCATTCTATTTGAGTTGGCAATGGATTCCATTAAATTAAATTTTACCGAACCATATTTAAATTAAATTAGGAATGAATTGTTTGCATTTACTATCGCTATACACAAATGTGTTGAACTGGAACAAGAGGTGCGTCGTACTGAGAATAAACCATGACTATTATTTAAACTTGAGTATTATGTAAGAATAAAGCAATACCAACGAAGTATGTTCATCATCGTTCCACCAACACCTATTTAGGAACGAACGAAGCTGCGAGCACTAAATGTCATGCGTTAACTTATAAATCATAAAATTATCTTTAACCAAATGTCATGCGTTAACTTATAAATCATA